CTCAAGATTATGCGCAATATTCACTCAGATGATTTAGGTCTCTCGTCTGGCGACTCGAGACGTAAACCTCACCCTCGTGAATAATAGACTGCATTATCTCTTGTATAATAATTAGGGATGGGATATTTAGGTACTAAAAACTGAAAAATAGGTAACTAAAAAGGTACTAAAAAAAAGTATTTTAGGTTAAAAAAACAGCATTTTAGGTTAAAAAAATTAATTAAAAGTTTAAGTTTCGTTTATAATTTTGTTTAGCCGCATACCCAAACACAGAACATACCCACAATAAACTATTTCTATGCAATAAACTGTGTTTTACTGAGTGACACTCACTACACAGAAGTTCTATGACAGAACATAAGCTCACTAGTAGTGAGTAACTACAAAGAAGGTAACTGTAAAGAAAGTTACTGTTACAGTCTGTAACCATAAGAAAAAATTCTATACCGTTGAGTTGCACGCCCTGGATAAAATATTGGCGCAAATTTTAAAAAGAACAAAAAAAATAAAATAAGTAAAAATACGTAAAAATAGGTAACAAATATGTGAAAATAAACTGACAAATTAAAAAATAGGTAAAAAAAGTATAAAAAGGTAGTTAAAAGCAAAAAGCTCCAAAAAAGGTAAAAAAGGTGAAAACAAGTTAGGTTCATATAAAAGAAAATCTTTTAAAACACATTTTGGCATTATTGGTTTTCAAATAGTTACATCGGTTAAAAAAAGGTAAAATAACTAAAATCCCATCCCTAATAATAATATAAGTACTATTAGTTGTATCTTTCATATATAACTATAGTTTATTTTTTTAAAATACGTTTTTTTTAATATGTGTTATTTATTTAATTAAAAGTGCAGTCATACAAATATTCGTAACACAAAACCAAATATATGAATTATTAGTGCTGCCATCTGTGGTCAATTTCACCCATATAGCATTTAGTACAATCTAGTACGAAATGACGGAGCCACCTAGTACGAAATAAAATGAACGAGTGGCAACACTGCAGCCAAAGAGTAGTAGGAATAGACAGCTGCAATATAATAGACGCCTTCAGCTAATATACAGGGGTAAACGAAATGTTTAAAATAGCCGCGGTCACCCCCTGGGTTATTTTTATATAAAATTGGGAAATTATATTATAATATATTCGAATATATTCGATATTTTTTAATTATGTTCACATTTTTTTATGCAATAGGTTAAAAGCGTGATTGCGCAAACTCCGCGGTTTCGGTAGTCGATAGTGATCTGTCGTATAGCCAAATCAGCTATACAGATCCTCATGTTGGCCAAGTAGTTAACTATACCGATAAAACGGCATACGGTTACGCGCGCTATTTGTCGTTTGTCTGAATCAAACAAAAGTATCGTAATTATGTAAAACCATATCATTATTTTAACGATACGACATTTACAGATACTTTGAATAGCCATTTTGACAAAATTTTTCTCTCCGTGCATTTTTTCAATCCTGGAACTTTCGGGACAAAGGTAACTGAACCCCGAATCCCGAACAAACATATAAATCTTAACAGTTTTACAAAATATAATTTAAAATTAATAAACAAACAACTTCTTTTGGACTTCACACTATAGTTGAAGGAATTGTTTTTAAAAATTCATAGGCACGTTTACCCTCATTAACAAATAATTTAAATTCTTTAAATCCGTCGAAGCCACCCGTGAAACGTGAAACTTTTGGAACCATATTTTGCATTTTGAATGTAGGTATGGAGTAGTTAAAAAAAACACTTTCTAATTTTTAGCGATTTTATAACTATTTCCTATTTGTATAAAAAAAGTATTTGTTAAAGAAACGAATATATATATATATATATATATATATATATATATATATATATATATATATATATATAAACATTAAATTTTGGGGGCTAAATTGCCATCAATATTTTATCACCTGTTCTGCGACATTATTCATAATAAACAATGCCATTAAAAAGTATAATTTTTTAACTTATTACAAAGGTACCAAGATTTAAACTTTTAATCCCGTGATTTACAGGATCATTCTTAAAAGGTATTAAAAACAATTATAAAGGGTATCCAGAAAATTGCGCGAGGAATTGTGCTGAGGCACTAACCAAGCTGGCGTGAGCTACTTTGTTTAATATTAAAACCCTGTATAAGGGCATAAGTGCAAAGATCAATATTTTGAAGTAATTTATTTTATAGGACACTTTCTTATCTTTATAAATATGTATTCATGAATACCTACATAGGTACCTAACTTAATTAGGGTTAACTCTGCTTGTTTGTTAATTTTTGGTCTAAAACAACACCGTAGTAAAGCCTTAGCCTCCATCTTTATCAGACATGCTCCGTGTGCCAATTTTTGTTCTTAAAAATAAAAAACCTACTCTTATAGGACTATAATCGCTCATACACCCGAATTTCTACACCAAATAATAATAAATAATTATTCGAATAATTATTATTATTATTATTTGGTTAAATGTGTTCCACAATGTAATGTGACAGAATAAATAATAGATTCCCCACAAAACGAAAATTCCCGTTTTTTTAAACACCTTGTATTGTGCCTTTCTATTTTTCCTTCTTTTTCGTTTTTAAAAGGTGGGGGAATTTTGCGCGGTGGGTTATTTTACGCATAAACAATTCTTCCAGATATGAAGTATATAAAACATTTTTTGAATTTGGCAACCTTGGAAACGTTGCTAAAGTTGTATTTGGTTATATGGTCATACTAGACTAGACTAGTATTAATATATTAATACTAGTCTAGTCTAGTATGACCATATACGTTGATCTAGGAAATCCATGTCGTTTCCGCTACGAGGTAAGTTTAAATTTCTGTCCAATAGCTTAAATGTTTATAACAGTCAGGTTCCAGCACTTGAGAAGGCACCACGCGAGAGCGAGAACTCTTAAAACGTAAAAGTTTAAAGATTAAAACCAACAATAATTTTTAAAAAGTGTAAACCAATTATAGTGAAACAAACAATTTTTATAGAGTGCAAACTAAAATAGTGTAACGGTCAATGAGGAGTGAAGTGTTAAATGATTTAAGTGCCACCTGTCATTGGACGCTTTTCACTGGACAAACAAAGGAGGTCAAACAAGAGGGGAAGTGGCCATCCGCAAAAAAATTGATAAGTAACCTTAAGCATATGCATGACCTAACACATAATCTGCAAATTATACACGACAGATATCTTTAAAACCCTAAGAAAGGCACACTGCGTAGGGCAATAAATCTGTCAACAACAAATGCGTAAGGCAAACCCAAACGAGAACAATAATAAACACTAGACACACAGAATAAACTAACACATTAATCATTATAACCCTAACATAGTAAAAAAAAGCATAATAACCAAACTCTACTGGATTTGTAAACATTAGATAACAGAATAATTGCGCTTGTCATTTGTTTAACTAATAAATAAATGCAATACTTAATTTTGGAATTTAAGAAAAAAAACAAAACTTTACCACAAAACGTGCTTGGGACAAAAATTACGCAAACTTGAACGGAAGATCATTACACTACTAACGACAGACTTACCCGACTACCATCACCAACATCCCCGCGACCTGTTAATGGGCAAAACCATTGCCAAAAGGGTAAGAGTAGCACAATTGAAATACTGGGCCCACGTCACTCTAGGCAACGCAACAACATACTAAAAGCCACCCTTAAACTAGACCTTACAGACAAAAAAGTCGGGAGACCATGCTTCACATTTCATGACACGTTAGCACAAAACATGCACTTCTCACAAATTAACAAGACCAGTTGGGAGCAACTAAGCAACAATAAAAATAAAATAAAAAAAACAACTGACACACTTTACCAAGTGCAGGAACTATCTGACCAGGACACGGACAATGACAATATCGAACAAGACGAAGACCTAGACTAGCAAACTACACCCCTGCAGCGAAATAACAACTCCCCAACTCCAAATAGTAATCCCAAATGTTTGGAGTAATACTAATCGACTGGTCTAGGGGGATTTCCCGTCGTACTTAGTTTTAAGTCGGCGTAATTGTCCCCCAAAAACCAACAAACGTCTATCCCTCCCATCCCTCCTCCTCTATATCCTACTGGCGTATAGCATCGGCTCGGCGAACCCGAGAATGGCTATTAAAACTATTCGCATGTCGCTCTCGAGCCCCAAATAGGGGACAGTACGGAACGCAATGGACATTCGCACCCAGCAAACACGGGGTCCGGGAGTGATGAGGCAATGGGGCTGGTTATACATCTCTTATACTCATATACTCGTACTCATACTCGCTTAAATGTTTATAACACAACTTTATCTGATCTTTACTCGTAATCTGAGTGGGGTAATTTTACGCTGAAAATGGGGGTATTTTTATCTTTTATTATAACAATATTATAGAAATAAACGGTTTATTTAGATACAAATCTTTCTCTACGCAGCGCAAACTTTCCCCATATGATGCGCAAAAATACCCTGATAGGTGGGTAATTTTGCGCAAATGCATTATTCCAAAAAATGTATACCAAATGCGTACGAAACAATTTTTTTTATAAGTTGCGCATTATATACACATAGTAAACATAGTAGACTTTTGCTGGTATTAATTGCAAAATTACACATTTAAACTTAACAAAGATACTGGAGATTTTGCTTAGGTGCGCAGAATTGCCCCACCTTCCCCTACATGTCCTTGCGATTTTTTTTACTATTTTGAAAGTTTTTTTGGTGGTCTAAATTGTTATAATTTAATCCGTTAAAAACCTATATAAAAATACGGTGAATAAATAAACAAATTATGATATTTTAACAAATTAAGCGTCAGTGTAACTTTTTTTTTATAAAACCGTATACGTTTGTTTACCAGTTAGTTTTAAAGGAAAAAAGGAAAAGTGGTGGTATCATAATAAAACGTTTCTTAAAATTTTACATGTATATTTAAATATTGTATGGATCTAAAATAAATAACATCAATAAATAAAGAATCAAACATACATAGATAAATTTCACTTTGGTTTCAGCTGTTGCACTACTTTACACTTATTAATATATGTACAGAATTAAGATATGGTTGGTGAAGTTGAATTAGTTTTAAAAACTAAAGTTTCACGTATCAGTGCCAGAACTATTTGTGTCTTGGACGTCCGGCTGGGAATCCTCGAGAAGAAGTTGCTGTTGTTTTAAAACTGCTAAACGTTGATGAGTGAGCTCTAAATGGTGTTTTCTCCATTTTATCCTGCGGTTTTGGAACCATACTTTTACCTGTAAAATTATATTATTTCTTTAAATACTCTATATAAATTATATTATAATATAATTTTCTTAAGTAGCTTTGGTAACTAGAATAATCATACTAATGAGAGCAATCAGACAAAATCAAATTAATAATAAAACGTCACAGTTAATAACAATGGTTTTAGTACATATTGTCATTATGTAGTTTAGTGTGGGGTTCCTAACGTGACTCATTCTGACTCTTTTCTTTTGACTTACTATGTAGGTACTTTTAGTCGGGTTTAAAACAAATTTCATTGTTTTATGAGAAAAAAATCGAGTTTTTTGATATATCATAAGAAATTATAGTTGTCTATATAAATGAAAAGACAACTTTTCCCCCCTCAATTCTCCTTTTTTATTAAATGCAAAAATTCAAAAAGGGGGATTGAAGGGAACACGTTTTCTTTTCTGGTGTCATGCGGCGTATTGAACTTTTTGATCGTAATTGTAATAAAATATTAATAGAAGGTAGATTGTAGATATTAAAATTTACCTGTTTGTTATCATTGGATAATATATGATATTACCATTGCAGTTTTTACCACGATTCCCAAAGATCCTCATCAGCCAAAATGGCAATTTAAATAATTTTATGTTTGTTAATGGCCATTTGTGATCGGCGTTTTCCAAAACTTTAAGCACAATAATTGGTTTCAATATTTTTACGGAGATTAGTGACCGAATAGTATCAGAAAAGAAAACTGCAAAATCAAATCGATATTTTAAAACCAACAAAAACCTACAGCAAGGAAATCAATCACACTATGGTGTTTACAATTATTGTGGATAGAATATTTTTACTGCTGTATCTTTCACTGTTTTAGCTGCAAGATGTTATTTGTATAATGCATCACCAGTGAAAATGAATGACTTATCTAAAGTGTGTCAAAAAGATTTTTAACTAGAATTCGAAATTTCTTATTAAATGCATGAGTACGTTTAATGAAATGGTTGGCATATAATTTGCTGATGACGAAAAAAATAAAGAAAACAAAATTTTAATCCTATGGCTTGTTGGTGAATTTTGTTGGTAAATGTTGTCGAAATCTAATTGATGAAATTATAGAATGTGAAACATAGAATGTATATTTAATATTTTTTAGATCCATATTTAGCTCCTGGTGGGGAAAAACTATATATGCACTGAAAAAAATAAGCTGTTGAAACAACAAAAAAAATATTAATTCAACTCTTTATGCACTTTAAATACAAGCAATGGTTTTTGCACGTTTACTTAACCATCTAAAAATGTCAAATTGTATTGTTTAATTGAACAACAAATAACAGTCAAATGAACAAAATTAGGATATTTGTTCCAATGCAAATTTAACATTTTAAATTTTAAAATAACATTTACAATTTGTTAAATGAACAAATTTAATGTTGTGGATTAAACAGCAACTAAACGTTAATCTAATAGTTTTTTTAGGTAATCCCAACAATTTTAGTATTTGATTTAACCAATTCCAGCTATTAAATCAAAATAGGATAAAAACTTTAATTCAAACAATTAGTTCATGTAAGATCAATATTTTAAATTGTCAAATGAACAAATAAACTTTGACAAACCCTGACTATTGCTTTGACACCAAAATATAGATTAATCCAATAGGTTTTTTGTTGAAACAACATTTTCAAAAATGACATTTAGGCAAATGTTAACTCAACGAATATATTTTTTTCGGTGTGGTTAAGAAAAATGCAGTTCCTGATAAAATTATGTCACATGGCTAAATTGAGGAGCATCCGTGCAAAACCGGCTATACCCATTTTAATAAAATGTTGGGAAAATGGCAAAAACTCCCCGTTTACTGGCCTTTACAAATTAAAAAGATGCACCTTAATTAAGTTTTGTGGGCACAAAACTCAAGATGCATTTTTTTATCTGTAAAGGCCAAAAAACGGGAAGTTTTTGCCATTTTCCCAACATTTTATTAAAATGGATATAGCCGGTTTTGCACGGATGCTCCTCAATTATAAGTGTATATTTAATTTTTATTTTATTTATTGATGTTAGTATTAATAATTAAATATTATATACTATTTTTTTACAAAAAAATATTTAAGTTAAACCAACTTAAAGATTATTTTATACAGGGTGGCAAAACAAAACAAAGCAGTTTTCGGGTAGTAAGCAGTGATTTAAAAAAAAACGACAAAAAAGAACATGTCAACTTTCGACATCTTTTGTAATAGATTTTACTCGTAAATCACTTCACCCCTTCGCGCAGTTGTGACAACCCCTAAAATTTTAATAGGCATGGTAGGGCAAGTGATACCTTATTTGAAAGGTCTTGCTTCACTGAGTATTTGGAAATAAAATTTAAATTATATCCATTCCATTCGTTTTCGAGTGTTTAAGTTGAACAGACAACAGCGGACTTTTTATTCGAATAAAAAAATTACAGATAAGAAAGTTCACAAAAAATCGTGTGGAAAAACTGTGTGGATAGTCACGTGAATAGAAAATTTGTTTTGGGTTGTTAACGAAATAGTAGCGAAAAAAACGGATCCTTGGACCTAAACGTAAACGTCCGGTGAGAAATGAAGCTGCTAAAGTAGGAGTTTTATGACAAGTTGTTTTTGACCCAACTTTAAGCATGAGAAAATTAGCTATGGTAACTAACATTCCTAGAACGACCTACGGATCCTTAGATCTCATAAATTTTCTTTTAGTACATGAATTAAATGAGAATGATTTTGACCGGCGACTGGGGTTTTGCGAAACTATGACTGAACGAATAGTTAATGATAACAATTTGCTTTTTAACATCTATTTTTTAGAAGATTGTTCGTTTTATCTTAACTTAACCGTCAATCGTCATAATTATCGTCACTGGTCAGATGCAAAACCAAGGGTTTTCCACGAAGTTTACACTCAAACTCCTTAAAAACTGAATGTCTGGCCAGGTATTTGAAGATCGTCTGGTTGAGACCATTTTTCTTGATGGTATACCTTATAACCTGACAGGAGAAACGTATTTGGAATTACTAGAAGATGTAGTTCAATTCTTACTAGTCAATATTGTTAAAATGATAACAGCTACTTGAAAGACCATTTAATGTTCCAACAAGATGGAGCCCCTTCACGCTATACACGTGTTAGAGTTTTTGGACCGAATGCGACAACGTATCTTTGATGAAGGCGGTCAAAAAACTGAAAATGTTAGAAGGCGTTTCAAACAAAATTGGAAGTTGATGGAAGAGATTTTAAGCACTTAATAGATTAATAAACTTTGTTTTACTGTTATCATTGTTTTTCTGACATAAATTCCTTATATGTACCTTTTTATTTGAATAAGAATAAGTGCGCTGTTGCAACTTTAACATACCTATTTTAACTTGCAACTTTAAAATTTCTTAAAAACAAATCAAAGGAATTTGAATTTTTTTCACGTTACTCAGTGGGGAAATAAGTTATCTCCTGCCCTAACATGCCTATTAAAATTTTAGTGGTTGGGACCACTGCGCGAAGGAGTAAAATCTAATGAAAAAGATATCCCTTTCAAAACTTAAAAGTTAACGTGTCTTTGCGTTTTTTAAAAAATCACACCTTACTACCCGAAAACTGCTGTTTTGTTTTCGTTGGACCACCCTGTATACATGTAGTGTTTTAAAGTTTTAATCAGCATATTTTTTAATAAAATATTGTCTTTATTGGTAAAATTATATGTATATGCACATGACCGCTACAATCTGAGCTTTGATGTAAAAAAAATATCCAAAGTGGTTTCCAAAAAATTATAAGCCCATGTCCGAAAAAAGTATAGGTTTTTTTCAGTGTCCAATTAAAAAAATATTTAGAAGTGTACGCGAAATTTGCGTTTTTTTCATTTTACCAAAAATTTAATTTTAGGTCCAGCAACGCTTAACATTATAGACCACTCAATTTAATAAATATAAATACATATAAGGATGCTGCTATGCAATTTTTTTCTTTTGGAAACTGACAAAGAGAAAGTGTCTCATCCTTTATTCCTTTTCGTTATTAACCGGCCTCCTAATATTTTACTTTAGAATAAAAGATATCGTAGATACTAAATAAAAAGTGCATTTTATTTTGACTTTAAAAGCAAATTTAAACACACTTCTTAAATTTAATTTTTTTCCCAAACACTAAACACAATACCAACTTATAATTTTATAAAAGTAGGTATAATTTGTAATTTTATTTAAATACGTTTAACATTCGTATACTTGTAAAGTTAAATAGAGCCATTACTCACTTGCGCCTCAGTAAGCTGTAAAGTGTGCGCCAAATAGAGCCGTTCAGGACCGACCATGTATTGCTGTCGCTCGAATTCCGCCTCAAGCCGTTCAAGTTGTTCCGGCGTGAAAATTGTTCGCACCCGTTTGCTTTTACAGCTTTTTTTCTGGTGCTGCTGTTGCTGCTGCATCGCCGACATGTGCTTTAGACCCCTTACTGTAACACAAATTTATACGTGAAATAAAATGTCGTCTTTAATATATTTTAATCAATTCAAGTACCCGTGAAGACAGATGTTATTGCTAAAGAAATTTTGTCGTGTACTAGAATCAATGTACCACATACAAAATTTCAGATTCATTCATTCAGGTTTCGTCAGCGGTGACGAGAAGTTGACAGCCACATTAGATTTTTGTTTACCGTGACCAACCACGGGCCGCTTTCTTATGCCTAACTTATCATGTAAAATGTTTCGTACATGTATGTCCAGGGCTTCTGCTACTTCGCGCACTTACATTTAGCGATTAGCAAGAACAAGTCGTAAACCTTTCTCACGATTTCCTCAGCAACCACGTCTGGGATGCGCTCCTAATCAAAAACAGATGTACGGCCACGTTTAAATTCATTAAACCAATATTACCCGTTTTGTTTTCTTTTTTTTTATCTCACGTTGCTGATCGATAGGTACTTTTTTTTTCTTTTCACTATCCATTGTACCAAAAAACACCAGGTCAAAACTAACCGATGAATCAATTTGAAGATCGTAGTACACGATGTCAACTTTCCTCAGCAACGCTATTTGTCTTTAAACCTGGGTAATTATAATTATTGATCAACCCTTGTATATATGTACATGTTAATGCATTAATTAATTCTTTATTTTCTGATAATTAAACATTGTTGTGAAAACATAGCAATACCAAAGTGGTTTATTGTTTTATAAGTATTAGGGGCGGTCATTTTGTAAAAATTGAACAAATGATCGGTTCATTATTTTGTAAAAGAATTTTTGTTTCTTGGTGAATAATTCGATTCAATTTGATCGTAAGTTTTTTTGCCATTATTAATTTTTAGAAAAACTAAATATTAAAGTTTTGGTTTTTGGCAGAAAATAGTACCTTCCCTAATAAAGAAAGTGAGTATCTTCATTTTGAGTCGAACCGATAAATAAAACCATATGAATATTAAAATATCAGATATATCAGATATGTACTGTCTGATATTTTTGTTCACTCCTAGGACCCAAATACCTAATGTCAATAATATGTAATAGCTATTACATATTTGGGTGTTTCGTATATAATATATATTTATATATGTATATTATATATATAGTACAATCTTTGGCAAAAACTTTATATAAATACGTAAATACACTCCACTCTCTTAAAATGAATTAGTCAAAAATAAACACGTTTTAGTCACGGGCTCAAATTTAACTAATTTCGTGTAAACATTCCACCGTGGATTGCCTATAAAACATTATCTTTACTTTCACTGTTAAATACTGCTTCTACTGCTACTGCTTTTATCGGATTTCGTTAGTCAATTTTTAAGGGATAAAGTTCTATTTACTTGTAAGAATTTGAGATTTGTCATCCCACACAGAACACAAGTAAAATGTTTTATAGATGTGGCTTTATACAATAATTTAATTTAAATCATTTTTAGATAATAATAGGTATTTGTCGTAGAAAAATTATATTATGCAACTCGTTAATAAACTTTTCGAGACACAAATTTAGTTAAGCACTCCCTCGCAAGCTAGCTCATGCCTAAATTAAATTCGTGACTAAAATGGCGTACCTAATTTAATACATAATAAACTATTAAAGGTTAAATTATTTTTTGCAATTATCATGTATCATGTTGATGTTAATGAAAATTTTTAGGTATTGAAAAAATTAAAGAAAAAAATGGTTCACAAATATTTTTGTTTGAAAAGAAATACTTTTTAAAATACAAAGATGTTTCTGAAATTAATTATGGCAACTATCTAATGTCAAAAAAAATTCCCGAATATGTTCGTCATTTTTGATTAATATCATATTAAATGCAATAGATAGGCTATAGGATAACAGCAAATTTAAAATATCCCCAACCTAGGGACTAATTTTTTCTACACAGGCTATGTATGATATATAGGTTTGTATACCTATATTTAAATAGGTATATATACCTACATTTAATTTTTTTCAATATTCGACTGCATGATAATTTCAAAAATTAAAAATAATAATTGCAAAAATTAATTTGAGTTTTAGAGTACCTATTTTAAACAAAAATATGTTGTATGACAACTATTTATTTTAAAAATACTTCTTCATTGCAATATTTCCAAAAACCAAACCAAAGAAGTTTCTTACAAAGCTTGATTATTGTTAAGAATATTATTTGTAATATTAAGATGTACGGGAAAAAAATACCATTTCATTTTCATAGTAACATAATGATTTTATGTCTTTAGAATAATTTATTATTTCAATTATTATTGAATATTCAATAAATATCAATTCGGCGTGTCTTTAAGAAACGCCGTTTTACTATTTAACAGTTTTTTAGTTTTATTAAATAAATAATAAATTTTGTATGTCCATTTAAGGAATTTTTTTTAATTACCATGTTTCGACGTAATGGACTAAACTTAACAAAATCCATTAAACACTTAGTTTGGACTAGGCAAAGTTTGTCTTGCTGCTCCACACCCAAAATGCCCACTTTGACATTTGATTGAGGAATATAGCTCCATACTATGGAGTCCATAGTTAATGTTATGTATGATACATAATGTATCTGTCAGCTTAACGCCAATTATCTGAAAATAGCTATATCTATTTGTACTGCTATATGTATGCATTTTAGCATGTAAAGCTCCTAATTTAAGAAACAGAAACCTAACATGTAAGCATTAAATATAATATAATATACCTCATTTTTATCATAAGGCTGCGCTCTGCATTTAAATTTCAAATTTGGATGTGGAGCATCATAAATCATGTATTAATTATAGAAACAGAAGAAGTACATAAGTAAAAGAAGGGGTATTTTATTACAGTATAATTTACTTTGGTAACAATAGCATTATAACAATGGAGTAACATAAGAGTCATTACATATGCGCGATTGTTTTAGACATATCATATATCTTAATTCCGAGACAATTAATATTTTACAAAAATAACTTCTTGCATAAAATCTGGTCAATTTCAAAACATTATTTTTTGACAAATTTATCTATTATTAAATTGATATAATTTTATTTTTTTAGTTATGTTTTGAAAATGACTTAAAAAATTCAACTTTAATTTTTAGATCCGCCAAATTTGGAGAAAACCCCTTTTAAGCACCAACTTATTTTTTAATTAATATAATAACATTTTGATTCGAGGGTAATTAAATTAATATCACTTATTAAGTTACTAGTATTACAAAGATTATAGTGAAGTTGGTAAGCCGATATCCACAATATGCTGCATGCGTTTATTACCTGTTTGAATGGCGGAAGCACACGGGTGTCCTGCAGGGAAGTGTCCCGTGACCGGTCGGTGAACAGTGGGTAGTTGAAGCCTGCTACAATTCGACATCAATTGCCGATCTGTACTGCCGGGGTGCACGCTTAAATTCATCACACTCATCTCGTTTTCCGATTGAATGTCTTTTCCATCATTTTTTAATCCTGAAAGAAGGTTACAATACTACCTAGATCCAGTTTAAGGACTTCTTAGACTTGATTGAAACTTGTTGTATAATTTATACAGTATAAAGTAACGTTGGCCATATTTATAAAGTGAATCCATAAGATTGTAGAGAATTAAATGGGCTTGTATTTATGATTTAAAGGTCAAAGGGCTCCAAATTTGTTTGAAACGGCTTTAAGATAAACTTTATTTAGGTAATATAAAATTTTTTGTCAAATTTAACAGCTTAATAGAAAAAAGCAAACAACAAGCAACATTTTATCAAATAAAATTAAAGTTGTAATTTACAACTTTAAGTTTATTAACTTGTTAATTAAATCAGCACCTCTAATTCCATTTTGGCTTTGCGTGATAAAATTTATTTAGAGTTAAAAAGATCAAGTATTAATATTTTAAGTAATTTATGTCGGTTTCAAAATATATGGAGTATTTAATGAAGTTTTAAAACAAAGGGGATATAAATATTAATTTTAAACTAAAACTTCGGTTTTCATTTAATTAAATAAAAAAAATTCAAATTTCTCAAAATGATAGTAGGTACATTCATTTTACTAAATCACCACTACAGGCGGAGAGCACGTGGACACAGTGTTCCCAACCTTTCAGAGTAATAATTCCCTTGTTGCTAACTGAAAAACAAATTATTTTGTGTTTTTACCTTAAATTATTCCTATTATGCGCTTATCGAGTGAACTAGCCTAATATACAGAGTAGTAACTACCCTTCATTAAAACACACTTTATTAGGCTAGCTCACTCGATAAGCGCATTATAGGCATATTTCGAGATAAAAACACAAAATGTTTTTTTTTCATTTGGGCCTCTTGCAGTATACGCCTCATCTAACAAATAAACTATTAAAACATAAAGGTAAACATGAAATAAGCCAACTTGCATCTCTAGAAGAACTAACTATATATAGTTAGTTCTTCTTCTTTTAGCCACAACATTTGGGCTGCGTTGTCAAACTTCTTTTATTTTGGGTCACTTTATTAAATAAGTGACCAAAAAAAAGTATAATCTATAATGTGGGCTTTTTAATAATAAATATGAAAAATTCCCTAATTTTAACGATTTTTACTAAAAAATTCCCTTTTCCCTTTTTGGTACCAAAAAGGGAAAATTCCCTGCAGTTGGGAAAACTGCGTGGACAACACAGATGCTATAGCAACAATATATTGTTCAATCTGTGAAAAAAGGCCAAATATTTAGCGCCGATTGACCAACAGCCAATACCGAGGACGTCAATTGATATCACGCAACATTAGTTTATTTAATTAGGTGAGTTGGTAAAATGGTTTAAGTATAGTTTTTTTAAACCGTATGTAACATTAATAGAAAGACCTTATTTATTGACCTCAAAATTGACCATTTGAATAGTTTCTAAATTATACGGGGTGGCCCATCAAAAACGTACCCCAAGGCATTATAGGCTGGGAAAGAACTTTTAGGCAAAATTCAAAAACAAGTCTAGTTTTAGAAAATCGATTGCCTCGTTTAGAAATTATGGAGCCTTGAAATACTATAGTATTGACATGACAAACAAACTTGACTTGTTTTTGGATTTTGCCGAAAAGTTTTTCCCATCCTGTAATGTCTTGCGGTACGTTTTCGATGGGCCACCTTGTATGATTTTGTAAAGCATCAGACACATTCACAAATATTTCCAGATGTTTTACAGCACAGATATAAAGAAAATAGTTTAGTTTTTTATACGCCAAAGTATACACTTTTTATCTCACCAGGTCGCTCAAGTTTTATTTCCCATAGATTCTTTTAAATATTCGTTTCTTATCTCCAGCAATTAAAAAGGATCATGAAGTTTAATTATTACAATATATTTTTTTTTTAATCTCAAAAAACAATTTTTTTTAACAGTTTTAAAATAGTCATTTTAACTTTGTGCTGCCAACATAAGAAACAGAAAAATATTTCACTCACCTTAATTTTGCAATTATAACAACAATTTATATGTTCCTTATTTACTTTTTATGTTGTTTTAATGATACTTAAATTTGTAATAAAGACTTTATGAAGTAGTATTATGTTAATTAAAATACGTTTTATTTGTACTATTTTGCCACCGCTAAATTTGCTGTCACGGCCTAGTGTTCTTTATTTATCAAACTCTTCAAATGGAGATACTACCTTGAGTAAAAATTAATTGTGCTGTGTGTAAAGTAAAAATAAACTTACCTAATATCGCAGCAATAGTAAAAGACTTGTTATGTGAGGCGACCGACGAGTTACTTCTGCACCTCGAGTCGTCTTCTTGGGAAAGTTCATCACAAAGGGGCACATTTGATGTGGCGTGGACGCCACTTTCGTTATCGTTGTTTTGGTCTTCTAATTGGTGGTAGCTCAAAAAGTGGCTCAATGAAGTAGAATAATTGTAGTGGTGCAACATTTTCAACGCAAACTTGCGCCTTTTTTACATTCCTACCATCATCTTAAAGGAAGGAGAAAAACATTAAGCAAGCTATTTTACATTTTTTGACTTTCCATGACCAAAATGAGCTCTTATACAAAATTTACACGTTTTTGTTATTAATTATTTGAAAATATAAAATAAGTTTAGGAATAAAAACATTTCATTTGTAAGATTACCTACGTTTTTAATATATTTACACATTTTCACTAATATTTCCGACACATGTATTTTCCAATTAATATTTTTGGTTAAATATGTATAATAAATTAAAACCATTTTTTTTAATTCGTTATATTATTTTTATTCAAAAATGGTGCATTTTATGGATTTTAGGACTGTAAATATGGTTGATAAAGAAGTATACTCATTTATAGAGTGCTATGTTCTTGGGATTAATGCTTCATCATAATGCCGTGGCCATGCCATACCAGCATTATGATGAAGCAGTTTGGAGAGAACAAGGTGATGCGTGGCAAATAAGGTCAGTGGATATTGCTTCCTTCTAAAAAGCCTATCAACATCTATACTTCGAACAGTATATTTCTCTGTTATCAAATTTAACTTGTCCCATGGTCTTTTAGTTGGTGGTCATTCTGCTGGGGTAGAGAGATGACTGTAGAAAAGTATTTACTTACTTAAGAATTCTTACATTCCCTGCCTTTACATATTGGAGTGTCTAACATTCTTAAAGGCTAACATGAACCATTTCAGGGATGTAAACTCTGTGCATAAACATAACACCAGAAATTGCGACAAAGTCTACCCCTACCGAGACTAAAGGTGGCATTAGTTGGTGCAAACTGTATAAATTTTATACTATAAAATTCTTTAATGTCCTACCCAGGGTGGTTCCTGGTCCTACCTATAAAAAGTTGTGAACTAGTTGTCACGGTGACAATGTCACCCCTCTCATTTAAAAATAAAATTAAGAACTACCTATTTAATTACGAAAGCTTTTTGGAGGCTTGAGGAGTACCTAAATAATGACTTTTAAGATCTCTAACACATAATATGTACATATGTTTACTTCTTTATAATTATAAATATTTTTGTTGTTTTAGTCTTAACAGTTTATATCTGTGAACAATATAATATAAATAATTTTATTACTCTCTAAACATGAATTAGTCAAAATATCAGCAGCCACTAATAATTCCCGTCAATAGCAATTTATTTTTTGACAAAAATTTAAATTTAATCCATACATGCCATTTGAAATTAATATTATGTGTTAAAGATTACGTCAAAAAGGTTGTGTCTATCCTCTTGAAATTCAAGACTTGAATGCAAACTTTCAACCTTTCATAGTCTACATCATCTCACCATTGATTCTTGACAATTCTTATTTAAGTGCCTACTTCAGTTCGGGCAATGGGCGGGGTATACACGTAATTTAAAGTACCTTTACAGGAAAAAATCGCAAGTGATAAGATCAGGTAAACTTAGTGGCCAAACGTGAGATTTTACTGTTGGGGTACCTTAAATCGAGATTGCATTTAGGAGGATGGACACCAACTTTAGGACGTAATATTTGACATATGATATTAATTGTAAATGGCATGTAATAACAAAACAGTTTTATGTATTATATTTAAATTTTTGTCAAAAAATGTCACCCTGTATAAAAAACTTTTAATTTAAATTCAGCATACAAAATTTTATTATTTTATCTCAAAAGGTTTCGAAAATAATAATAATGTATTATCAATGATAATTTATCATACTCGTACCTACGTGGCCAAAGAATTAAAAATACGTGATTTATGATTTTTATTCGTAGGATCCAATGTTTGCTTGATTTTTAATTAAATTATGAATTAGGTTTATCAAATATACCTATAATAGGTATGTATACCTACCTTATTTTTCTGTAATATATTTTGTAAAGTACATTCTTCCATTTGGTTTTTGTCATTCGTTGGTCTAATATTGCAAATTAGTAGCGTACATTATCTAATCATTCGTCCTAACCCTAGTTAAATTTGGTTTTTATATAATATATGGTTCCAATAAAGGGAAATCAATTAAAGCAAAGAATTCTTCAAGAAATTCAGAAAATCCGTAGGGATTATGTCAGCGGGTTCTTGCAAATTTTTAGTTCTGTCTGGACACTTTTATAATGTTATTTTTTAGAAAGAAAATCTATTTAAATTCTTTATTAACGGTTTTTGGAGAAAAAATATTGCAGGGCACACTGTATTTTGGAAACCAACAAAATATCTAATAATTTAATAATTATTATTTGTACTGTTCTTTAAAAATAACAATCAGTGGCGGACTAAGTCATTTGGGGGCCCTTGGCACAACGAATTAGACGAGGCCCCTCTCCCATCAAGACTCAAATTCTAATTACACAGGCATTCTTTTTACACTTGCACCTCAATTTTTAAATGATTAAACATTTTTTTGCTTTATTTTATTATGATGACAATACAATTCGTTATAATTAGAACCAATAAAATGCCAGTATTCCAAGGTTACGCATTTTATCACAGCGACAATATAATTCATTAATATTAGAACCAATAAAATGCCACTATTCCATAGTGACGTATTTTATCACAGCGGCAATATTTTTTATCATCTTGTTTACACGTTACTATGAATTTTGACGTTTTTTTGATTTGACATTTGTTGTCATTTCAATTCTGTTTTTGATATATATCAATAAAATAATGAATTATAAACTCTAAAAGATCGATGGGTTGGTGTAAACGATAATGAAATTAAGGTAAGTTTGAATAAATAAGGTTTATTAAAGTCTTTTTATATTTTAAAGCACATTTTAATTTCAAATGTCAAACTAAAAATTCGTTAAATCCTAAAATTCATTATATTTTCTCACTAAATATAACTCGTGGTATGATTAATTATCGATGATATTTACTCATTAAAACCGAAGCAGCACATTTCACTCGTCCTGCAGGACTCATGCGGACTCGTGAAATCTGCAGCTCGGTTTCAATTCGAAAATATCATCGATGATAATCATACCACTTGTTATATTATGGGTGACAATATTTTTTATCCCCTTGTTTACACGTTGCTAAGGATTTTGACACTTTTCTTGATTTGGCATTTAAATACTGTATTTGTTAAATGATTAAAATAATGAATTATAAACTCTAAAAGATCGATGGGTTGGTGTAAACGATAATAAAATTAAGGTAAGTTTGAATAAATAAGGTTTATTAAAGTCTTTTTATATTTAAAAGCACATTTTAATTTCAAATGTCAAACTGACAATTCGTTAAATCCTAAAATTCATTATATTTTCTCACTAAATATAACTCGTGGTATGATTAATTATCGATGATATTTACTCATTGAAACCGAGGCAGCACATTTCACTCGTCCTGCGGACTCGTGAAATCTGCAGCTCGGTTTCAATTCGAAAATATCATCGATGATAATCATACCACTTGTTATAATATAACATAATATTATTATGGGTGAATATAAATATATATAAATATATATAAACACTTTAAAATTACAGAATCGCTCTTTAAATTAAATACATTTTATAAAATATATTTCCACTGAAAATTCATAGGTAAAGGTTGGGAAAGGTTATTAAAAATATCTATTTTACGTTCATAATGACTTTATTGTAACACCGCTTTCGGTGCTGTAATGACCTCATTACATTACTTTACCCCACCCAAAATTTTGATTTTATAGGTTGGCTATACTTTAAACAGCATACTAGTAAAATAATATTTTGCATATTGCATGGTTATAATATTTTTATGATTTTTCTAGGACTTACGAGACTTTTCTGACAATAAATTTTGTTGAGCACCAAAGAAAATCCTTTTTTTCTTCTTTAACAATAACAGCCGCTTATTGTAAATAAGTAAATTAAGAACGCCATGGCGAATCGATTTTGACATTAACCCTTCAAACCATTGACTTTGATACCAACTATATAAAGTAAAATTCGACCAAATTAAATATAAGGTATAAAATGAATTTTTTTTATAGAATTTTTGCAAAATAGATAAAATACCATAAAGAACTCATGTCATAAGACCTTTTGTCGCACTCGTCTTCGTGCGACAAAATCACGTCTTACGACATTAGTTCTTTAATATACTATTAAAATATCTTAAAAGCATTATTATAGTATACTCTTTCTTTCACAAGTGACACCTATTATCTTATACTTTTAAATCTTTGTGAACAGGTTTTAGTGGAAAATTATTTTAACTAAAAGTTCCTATGAACCTATGACCAAAAATTACTTCCTTCTGATGTTATAATAATGTATTGTTACTTTATCATTGACATTTCATCGTATTTAACTTCATTATCAAGGTCTTTTATTTCTTAATAACTTTACATCGAAGCAAAAAATTAACAAACTTAAAAGACAAAAAATCATGTTCATGTCCAGGGTGTTCAGAAATATTGTTAAAATATTTCCGGGGGTGATTCTTTCTACACGTAAAAATAAAAGAAAAAGTTGCCATAAAGAGATCTCCGAAAATGCCTCCTGGGGCATTTTCGCAAAATCAGGTTTTTAATTAATTATTTTAGAAACGGTTAGTACAAAAATATTGGGTATTTTTTGTTACAAAGTCATGAAGCCAACCGTTTTTAAGAAAAACGCTATTAGAACACTAACCGTTTCTGAAATAATTACTTAATTACACTCTTACACTTAATTACACTGACTTTTTAAATGTTAGGCTCAATTTAACAAAATAGTAAAACTTTTTCTTTGGACTATGAATTAAAGTTGAAACTCGAAAATTTATTAGGCGGCATTATCAAAATTCATGAACGAATATAGAAATGATAAAAATAAATATTTTTTTAATTCCTTCCACTGTCCCAGAGCCATCCTAAATATAAAAATCATAAAATTCAGACGAGGGCAGAATATTTATTTTTATCATACACAAGTTAACTTGTGTATGATAAAAATAAATATTTCGAAAAGTTATTTATGCTCTTAAAATATCTTGACT